GGTTGTTTGATTAGATTTTTGAGCACTTACCAGGTGCCATGACAGGGATGTAAAACATCCCTGCTGTGGGAGCTCTTCTTATAGCTAGAGGAATGCTCTAACTACTGCATGCATTTCACAGTTCTATTCCTTCCCTAATAAGTTGTCAGGGTTATGGGAAAGCACGGATTCTCAGCAAGCCAAGCAAGTGTGGGCATGCATACAGGTCTAGTGATCTTTATTCTGACCTGAATCTTCACACACACAGAGTGACTTCACAAAAATCATTTTTAAACATCATCAATTTCAAGAATAACAGTTGTGACATCAGCTTTAGCAAAATGTTTAAGACTTTGATTAAAGTAGAAGATCATCAAACCAAAATTTCTTCAGCAAGAATATTTGGATTTAATGTTTTCCTTTTATTCAGCCAAATTGTTTGAATCTGAGCCATAGGTGAGTTTTTATATTAAAGAACATAATTACTATCACAACAACTCCTTTAGTTCTCAATATGTACCAAGTATTCCACTCATAAATTTTAATTTCCAGTGTCCTGAACAAAGTTGGGAGAAATGGCCAGTGGGAGCTCTGTTAGTGTGTAGGAGATGGTGTAAATTGAATTCCTTGGCTTGCTGGCTTGCTTCCCCTCCACACACACTTTTTTAATGATAGGGATCAAATCTAGGGCCTCACACACAATAGCCAAACACTCTACCACTGAGCTATAATGGAATTCTTTATTCTCATAAAGGTGCTTGATAATTCGGAAGAAGCACACAGCAAAACTTCTCATTAGAAGGGAGGTAGGAACAGATGGTACAGTGAAAAATTAAGCAGGAGATATGGCTTGATCCCAGACCAGCATACTTTACGACATACTCAGTTGGACACAGACTTATCATGTGGTGAGGGACTGGAACCAAATGAACATATTACATCCTACTCCAGATGGAGACAGGTTAAAGACTTTTTCATTTTTCTTCAGATGAATATTCTGAGCCCAGAAGGAAGCACCTTGTAAGCAGGAAGAACAAATCTGTGCTGAAATAATGGGTATAAAATCCTTTCTCTGTCTACTATTGTCAAAACAAAGAGGAACAGGGGGAGGAAAAGAATGTGGAACATCTATTATGTGACAGGCACAGTTCTGAGTATTAAAAACAAAACGAGTTGTGTAAAAATGTTAGACTGAGATGATATATTCTGGTTCATAACACCCACTCCATTTTCTCCTTTTTCCCTGGTATGTGCTCTTCCTAACATCAGTAAAAATTTAAAGAACATGCAAATGTCTTTCTCAGAGTGAGTCTGCCTAAAGGTATAGTAATCTTCTGAGGTAAGAATAATACGTAAATAGTTTCATTGTGATATCATCTCTTAGCCACTTATATAAGGAATTCACATATTTATCTGAAATTTATCAGATCCACCTGGTAACTTTAATAGCAATTAGTTGGTGTCTTCATGGGGGCAAAAAAAAAAAAATGCCTTCTTCCTTATTCTCAAAATGCAAAGATTCTGTACTGGCCTCCAGTATGGAGAGCTTAGCCCACACAATGGCTAGATGCTTATTTCCTGACACACTTTAGTTGTTGCTGTTACCAGGAATTGAACCTACGGGTGTTTTATATATGTTTCCAAAATAAATCAAGACAAATTTTATATATATATTTTATAATATATATATAATATATAAATATATATATTTTATAATATATATATAATATATAAATATATATATATATTTTTAACTACTAACTAGGGAGTGGGGGGATGCAGCTCAGTAGGTAGAGTGCCTACCTAGCATGTTCCAGCTCAGGCCCTGGGTTTAGGGCATCACTAATAAGTACCTGTAAGTTTACTTACATTTGGTGATGTTCCTAAGTCCTCCAACCTGGGTCTAAGTTTACTTTGTCTCCTTTACTAATGATGATGTCTCTGATGGGCTCCAAAGCTTTTTCCTGATTTTGCCCCCAGGCCTATACTTAAAAATGAGAGGGGCTTAAGGATAACAACTATTTCTGTAATCTGTTGCTGCATAACAATGTACTCCTAAACTTACTGGTTTATAACAAGCTCCCTCATCATTCATTCATTCATTCTTTTAGTTATTTTAACTCTCCCACCTCTGAATTGCCTGGGCACTTCTGAGTTTTGTTGTCTTATGTTTTTTGGCAATCCTGGGGATTGAACCTAAGGCTTTCTACATGCTAGGCAAAGCACTCTACCAGTGAGCTACATCCACAGCCCCTTTTTTCTGGGTTTTTAAAAATTCTGGCATCCCTTTAGTTCCAATAAGGTGCTGGAGTGGGCTGAAAGGAAAGCTGAGGCTTCTGTCTTTGCCAGAAGTCTCAGGACTCCTCTCTACATCCATCTCCATGTGGCCTTACCACCTTAGTAACTGGACTTTTCACAGGGTTGCTCAGAACAACAGCCCAAGAAACAAAATCTGCTAAGCCTTCCTGCAAGTTGGTCCAGGAGCTGGCATAAAATCACTTGACTGCCTTCTTTTGGGTTAGAGTAGCAAATCCAACCCCAATTGAAATACAGAGAGAGTTATACAAGGATATTAATACTCAATTATTGTTCAACGGGGTCATTCTTCAAGACTAGCTACCACTACCACAAGTGCACAAAGGAAAAGATCACACCTGCATTCTGACAGGACCTTGTGAGTTTCTTGAAGGACTGACATACTAGTCCCTCATGCTTCTTGAATCACATGTCACAAGAAAGGAGAACTCAATATAGGGAGGGTTCTTGATATGTCACTTGTGTTTTGTTTCAGCTCAAAAATGCCTTTTGGCTTTAATGCTCAGGGATGATACTTCCCAACCAAGCTTCATCATTAGTATTTCTAAATCTGAGGCCATTAGATTCCTACAATTCTTGAATGGTTAAAAGGGATTATGAATTGCCTGAAATTATATCTGAAGTATTAAATGTAAACTTGTGTGCATGTTCCTGGGGAGGGAATTCTTGTTTTCCTCAGATTACCATCTCCAGGAGAATTCAAATGTGCAAGACATCTAAGGGTGCTTAGAAACCAACCAAAGGTACCCTGGATTCTTACCTCCTGATATAATCCTATGGTATCTCAGAAGTGTAGGATGAGGGAAGCAATGTATCCTCTATGTATTTGCTTCCTAAATAAGATAATAAAAAATTGAGAATATTAAGGAACAAAGCAATCACTATTGGTACTCGTGAATGCTTGAGAAAGAGAAAGGAACTGGCTTGATGCCCTTACCACCCCCCCCCAAAAAAATCTGTGATTATGAATGATGCTCCATCCAAACACATTAAAATTACCTTGACAATTTTAGTTATTATTTTCCCACCAGTGCTGGGTGAATAGTTAAGAATGTAACTTAAAAGGTCTTTGGATTCTTGCCCTATGCACTTTACCTCCTTTTCTCCCTTTCTTTTTCCCTATTCATCTTCTAGATTTTGCTAAGAAATAGCATTTGTGGGTACAACTGCATCTTCATGGACAGTCACTAAAATACCAAGAGTAATCTGAACTAGCTACATGCCCTTGAACTAGGGCAGGTGAAGCCCTGCTGCTCATTTTATCTACAGGCAACTCTTGGGACATCCTGGTAAAGGAACTCAGAATAACCACCTCTCTGAGGCCAGAGGAAGAACAGAACAAAAAAGTAGTAGAGCATTAGATTGAAATTAATTGAGTTAGATGAAAATCCCAGATTTAACTTTGTAATTTTTATATTACTGTTAGCTCTGTTATGTCTAACAAAACAAACATGATCTTTCCATCCCTCACATTCCTAGTATCCAGGAATCCCTTCTTAAAAACATATACTACAGAGGATCCCGTGAAGCATTTCAGCTTAGATCTCTCATATAAGCATTTGAAACTCTTCTCTATAACCCATACCAGAATGGAAAATTATATAGTTTCTCACCATTCAGAATGTCAATTCTCCCAGTGCCCACAGATACACCCTGGGAAGAAGGAAAACAGTAAGCAAATGTTATGTAAGAACTGTGGTGGGACTGGAGCAGGGGCAGGGTGCAGGCAGCTCAGTGCACTAAAGCTTTTGCCTGGAATGCACAAGGCTCTGGTTTCATCCCAGCACAGTAAAACAAGAGACCAATATCAAGCTTGTGTGTATGTGGCACAAGACAGCTTAGTGTATTCTTTTGTTGCTTGCAAAGTGGGGGAAATCGCACCTGAACTTGCAATCCAATTCTGCAATCCAATTCTGTGCAGAACAGCACTAAGGAAACATCTGGCACAGGAAATACCCAATACAAGTCCTATGTTCTCATTTATGTCCAATCTGTAAAATGTTTGAAAAGTGCCACAGCAATCAGCACTGCAGATTGCAGGGGTGATCTACTTACAACCCTGTAATTCAATTTCTTCCAATAGGGGTGTAATAGTGATGCACTAGGGCTGTGGTTTTAGTTCACACAAGTAAAGCCTGTGATGCACAAATCACCCATGGATTCACCCCAAAGTTTAGGAACCTCGGATGTCATTAGATGCTAAAGTTCACTGACAGTCACAATGCAAATTTAATTTTGTTTAGTTCCCACGATCCCTTCAAAGTATTAACCCAAACACACCACTTCCCAAGGTATAAAAATGTGAGAATCGAAGGCAAGTTGTGTTGAAGGAGAGCACAAAATTCTTGGTGGAATATAGAATATACATCTATATCCAAAAAGCCTATTTAGGCAGGTTTCTTTAACAACTAGAAAACCAAAACTATTTGGACATCCCCTCTGGCTAAAGTGATCTACCGAAATTAACCTTTCATAGATCAAGATCACTTGAAATATGTGAAGTAGGCTTATTCCATGAGGCTTTTTTTTCCCTAGCAAGAACAATTACATACAACTTGCATATTCTAATATTCATTTTTAGGACTCCATGAAAGCACTATGGTCTGCTATTGTAGGAAAATGAGAAACTTATAGCGTTATATATTAATACTTAACATTGATCTAAACAATTGGTTTCTGTTAAGACTATGTGACAGAGGCACTGCTAGAGTGAAAAAGCAGATTTTATTTTTTAAAAGATTAAAAACACATCGGGCAAAATTTCTTCAATCAATAAACTTTCAAGAAACGGAGCAAATTGTTGTGGGACCCATTCGGGACAGGTTAAACTGAAATTGGAAAGGGGATTTTGACAATGCTATGGGGGGGGGGAGGCCCTGAATAAATTTTAAACAATACTTCACATACCCACAACTGGTCAAGTGGCAAAGAAAATAAATTACCATAAATTATATGCCAAGGCAACTTAAAAACAAAACAAAACGACGTGAGGCTAAGGATTTCCTTAGCTTTTTTCCAGAAAGAGTGTAACACTGTGCTTCTGCCCTGCAGGCTGGGGCGGATTCAGGACCTGTCAAACGTCAGGATAGTTGCAGTAATAAACCGCTGAGCTGGCATCGGACACCACGGAGGAAATGGCCCCGTGGCTGTCCGGGAGATTCACACTGGCGTCATGTCCCTGGTAGGGGAGACCCATTTCGGGTTTGCACACGAAGTGCAGATACTGTTCAAATTCCGTGCGGTCCACCTCCCCAAGGAGCTCGGTGGGCTGGTTGGGGTCCGTGCCATCCCGGCAGGACAGAGCCTCCGGAGGAGGTGAAGGCTGCCCGGGGCCCGGCGGGGGATGCTGTTGCGGCGGCGGCTGCTGCTGCTGCGGTGGCTGCATGTGGAAACCGCGCGCGCCTCCCGCCGCGGGTGAGCCCATTGCGCCGTAGTACATATGAAGGGCGCTGGGGGGCGCCAGGAGGCCTGGCATTGCAGGGCCAGAGGGCTCTGGACCCAACCGGGGATGCATGGGGCCAGCAGGCGGTTCTGGAGGCACCGTGTAGTCCGAGACCTGCGCGTAGCTGTAGGTGCCGGCAGCTGGGCAGTCCCCTGGCAGAGGTGCAGCGAAGAAGGCCGGGTCTGGCTCCACGCCATCCAGCGGGGACGTGTCGGGCGTGGGCAGCGGGTAGCCGTCCAGCGATGGTGCACCCAGCCCTTGGCAGTCACGGTAGTGGCCACCCATGTGCGGGGGCAGCAGTGGCGGGCCAGCCGGGAAGCCCTGCTCTGCGAAGGGCAAGCCCAGGCCGTCCATGGCCACGCGGCCGCCCTCGGAACCCAGAGCCGCACCCTGCGGCTCCGCGAGGCCGTGCAGGAAGCCTCCCTCCACCCGCTTCAGCCGCTTCACCTGCTTGCGCCGCCGCGGCCGGTACTTGTAGTTGGGATGGTCTTGCATGTGCTGCACGCGCAGTCGCTCGGCCTCCTCCACGAAGGGCCTTTTCTCCGCTAGCGTCAGCGCCTTCCACGACTTGCCTGAATGGAAATGGGAAGGTGGAGAGGGGCGCAGGGCTTACCCAACGGTGCTCCCGCCCCAGGCCTTACCTAGCCCTACCTCTCCCACCCCAATCTTGAATTGTAAAACCAGAGGAGAAACCAAGTCAAGTTGAAGGGGGAAGGTTCCAGCACTTGGGAGAAAACACGTCCTCTAAGGGTACTCCTCACTTCTTCTGGGCTCCTAGAAGTGGCCTCTCCTCTCACCCATCTCCGATCGTTTCAAAAAACTTGAAATATTCCCTGGGCTGGGAAGGGGTTGAGTTCTGACACGACTGACCCAAGTAGAGGCAGGGGTGCCCTATCGCAGCTCGGAGGCACCGGGAAGCCACCTCCTCAGAACCACTGCACTCGCGCCCTGGCCATCTGGGTAATGCGAGCACGGACTAAAAAGACCAAAAGCCCGTTTGGAAAGAAGGGGAGCAGGAGGCGGGAAATGAACAGAGTGTCCGCAGGGATGGACGAGGCTACAACACACACTTGGTCTCAGAAGCAAAGCAAAACAAAATAAACAAAAAATCTGTGGGGCTCAAGGAAGTGGCTCCGCGATTCGCACCGGAGATCGGTAGCCTGGCGCCCAGCTTGGACTCACCTAGCATCTTGCTCAACTCAGCGTTGTGAAGGTCCGGGTTCTGTTGCGCCAGCCGCTTGCGCTCGTCCTTAGCCCACACCATGAAGGCGTTCATCGGCCGCCGGATGCGAGACTCGCCCTTGGCTCGGCCGGCAGCCCCAGCCGGCGCTCCGGTACTGGCCGCCGCCTCGCCCTTCACCTTCATGTCCCCGAGGGGGCTCAGCGACTCGGCCCAGGGACAAGGGCCCAGCCCGGCCATCACCGCTGGCAGCGCGTTCCGGGGCTGGCTCTGGTCGTCACTGGCGTACCCCGCATCCGGACTGCTCATGGCGCTCCAGCCCTGCCCCGCGCCCCGCTACCCTCCGCAGGACACGCCACCTCCCCCGACCCGGGATTGGGGAGGACGGGGTGGAGAGGGAGGCAAGAGATACCTAGAGAGCTGCGAGAGCCTCCGGGCCCCTAGCTGCCACCTGCGTCCCCAGCCAGTCCCAGCACACTAACTAAAGTCCCCGGTCGGCCCAGTGACACTGCAAGCACCCCCTGGCCGAGAGCCCTTTTCTGCACAGCTGTGGCCAATGGAGCGGCGGGGGCGGGCCGGGTCGGCGTTGTTAGGCCCACGCCCGGCCTGTGGTCCGAGTCTCGAGTCCTAGTTAACCCCAAGCCCGCCCCTTTCCCCTCCCCCGGTCCAGCGCCCTGGGCTACACCTGCCCCCAGGAAAACTGGCTGGAGCCGGGTTCTGGCGCCACGTCCGGTCCTACTGGGGAAGGGGAGCCACTGAAGAACTTTCTCGGGGCGCTGACTACTGCAAGATAGAGGTACTTACCCAAGATAGTTCACATTAGCAGCTAAGCATCGGTTCTATTCTCTCTCAAATCACATCTTTATTATAGAAGGCAAGGATATTTTCAGTGCTGGATGAACTTGCTTCCTTCCAAGGGACTGTACGGGTGCCTTCTGCAAATATATTTTTTTCTAAGGCAGAAGATAGTGTTTAAAATAAACGAATGCAGTCTCTCCCCAAGGACTCGCCTTACTTGCATTGTGTTAAAAATGTTATGTCCAAGGTAAATTCTACTACTTAAAACAAGATTTAAATAAGGAATGACGTTCATTCTCCTCTGGTCCATCACCCTGAAGAAATTTAAAGTTTTTATTCATGATAAATAAACCCTTGAAAAAATTCAAATTAAAATGTGTAAGATACATTTAACAAAACTGTTTCTCGTGCGTTTCATGAGTTAGATTTCTATAATGGAAAGACTTGCACGGGGCCCTAGGTTTGATTCCCTGTACCACCAAAAAAAAAATTAAATAAAGGTAAAATATAAAGACAACAACAATATTTGTCTTAAGTGCCCAAATTTATTAAGGGAAAGAGAGCAATACTTTTAGCGGTAAAATAGCTAAATCTCTTAGTAGCTAAGATGGCTACCCCGGGCAGATAATTTTCCTAAAAAGGAAATGTGAATGATTATTAAACTTGTGTTTAGACCTGAAAAAGGTTTTCTTGGGGATTTTTAAACAAACCTTTATATAGCAATTATATATGACATTCAGTATTCTTATTGCCTCCAAACCTTATCGAACTAGTTTATCTTTCAATCAACTGTATTAGTTAGACACTTATAGCTTAACCAGAAGGGAAACTGAGGTGCAAGACAGGTCTTTTAAAAAGGTGCCTGGAGATCAGAGTGTTGGGATGGTGAAGTTTGCACCTGGCAGTTGACCTTCAGAGCAGGAGCCAAGATACCCCCTCCCACACTTGCCAGTTGTGTTTATGTATTTGTATTGTTTTCCACCAGTAACCAGCATGGCCACCTCTGCATACATTTGGGAAAAAGAAAAATCAATATATCAATCTCCAGAATAGATTTTCACAGTTTGCTATGAAGGGGTGATGAAAGTGGTACCAATTACATCCCGGATCTGAGAGGTAAAATGTTATAGCTTTCTGTGTGCTATTTCAGTGACAAAGTCATTTATCATGTCTAGCTCATTAAAGGCATCCATAAAAACACAGGGCTTTTGCTAAATCCTGACCTTTAGTTTCTCTGTCATTGCTTTGTATCCAAAAAACCAATACACAACTGTTTAAAACCAACTCTTCTTTACCAGGGATGTGTGGACTTAGTTCCCTTGGCTCACCTTTCCTTTAGCACCCAGTCCTCCTATAGGGACTGTAAGACTCTAGTTCTAGTTTAGAAGTAGCTATGGTTCAAAAAAGAAAAAATAAATAAATTAATAAATTTGCTTAAAGAAATCATAGTGGAATGTTTTTAATTGATAGTTTAAAGCAGTTTATCTTAAATTTCATGGTGAGTTTCCCTTTAAAGTTTTATTTGTTCCAGAAGAAAAAAAAATGGCTTGAAAATAAAGCAAAAATGCATTGCAAATGGTTATAAATAAGGAAACTATAGGAGTAGAAACAGCAATGTTAGCCTATATTCCCAGCTACTCAGGAGGCTGAGAAAATATGATGGAAAATTTGAAGACAGGGTCAGCAATTTAGGGAGACTCTGACTCAAAAGAAACAAACAAAAAAGATCTGGAGTTGTACTCACTGGTGAAGCACCCCTGGGTTTGATCCCCAGTATCATAAATTTTTTAAAAAAAATTTTTAAAAATGGACAGCAAAGTTACCAGTTAATCCCCTAGCACCTTGCTCCTTGCTGGTTTTTAAAACACATTATCTAACTTTTTTTAGATTGTAATAAATATGTTTTCAGAGATCTCAAAGCAGAATTTTCTCTTAACTGGAAAAGCTTTTATGAACTAAGAGTTTTTTAGAATGGAGACTGAAAAACTAAACAAAACCAATGCCTGTGCTAGAATCCATCTCTAGATTAATCTATTTGACTAATTTCTCCAAAGATAAAATAGAGTATAGAAAATATAATCCAGGTGTGTTTCCAGAAAAAGTACAAGAGCAGTTTTATCCTTGTTCACCCTCCTGATCTTAACGTTGGGAAACTGATGGAAGAAGAAAATCTAAGGGTTTCCATCATTATTTGTACCCGATCCTGGAGAGTAACCAGTGATTTTTGACAGATAAGGTTACTGGGAAAGCAAGTGAGAGAACACATCCCTAAAATGGAGTTGGAGCTTCAGATTTGGGCACTTTCTTTATTTCTTAATACACCCTCCTTGGGAGTCATAACGTAGCAGTTACTTAAATTTACCAAAAAAGAATTGTGGTGCCTTTCCAAGACCAGTCGCCTTTTACATACTAGTTACCTAGGTTTGATTTCTTTTAATCATTCTCTTAACATATTTTTTGGGGGGTGAGGGGGAGTACTGGCGACCGCGGCGCCCCAAACTGGTGCGCTTTGTGTGCGGACTCCTATTTCAATCTCTACTAAACGCAGTGTTAGAAGCCAAGCTCTGGACGTTATCGGAGCCAGCCACAAATGCCACATGTAAAGAAGCAAACATCCGGAGTGGCTTCCTGCAAGCCTTGCTTTTCTCAACCCGGGAGATATACTGGGGCGGGGGTGGGGGCGGGTAGAGGGACAAGTTTCACGAGTGAGAGCCTTGTACACCACCAGCTCTGGAGCCGGCAGTGAACATTTGCAATGCACAGTGCTGGAATTCTGGGCTCGTGGCTACTGATTGCGCTTATACTCCCCGGCTTCGCAGGCCGGACTCCAGTTCCAAAGGCTGGGCGAGGAAGCAACTAATGTAGCAAGAAGCTGTGCCTGTTACCACTTGGGGTCTTTGGCCAGCGGGCGCAGAAATTAATTCGGGTAGGTGACAAACGGTGGCTCAGACCTGGAGGAATCAGGGCCAAGCTTTTCCTAGGGCCTCTGAGTGAACAGGCAAAGGCTGGGTGATTTCCGGTAGTCTTTTGTGTTTTTGATGCTCGGGAAGCGGGAGCCGGACAAAGGACACTCAAGTCATTCGGGAAGGATCCCAGAGCACCCAGGCAGATCTGAGGTGGCACTAAAGAGCAAGCTCGTGGGGGAGGGGAGGAGAGTGCGCGCAGCAAACCCAGGAAAAACTCAGGTGCGACCCTCGGATGAATAGACATTGGTGTCCCTAGGGGGGGAAAAAAAAAAAGAACAACATTAAGGCCTTTGCATTTATAAATCGTTCAGGGTCGGCTGCCTCCCAGAACCGAGAGGGAGGTGGTCTGCGGCGGCGGAGCACAGTCCAGGGCTCAGCACTTCCCAGGTAGGGCCACGCAGCCCAACGACGCCGATGGGCACCTTGTGCCTCGGCGCCCACTGGGGCGGCGGCGCCGCTCCCGCTTGCTACCTTTCGCGTCTCCTCCCTGTCCCGAGGCCAGTACACCGAGGGTCCAGGATGGAGGTCGAAGGTCGCGGGCGGGAGGGGATTGGTGAAGAGGAAGGAGTGGCCGGGAAGATAGCGGTCACCGGTCCAGCCGTGGCCGGCGCCGCGCGCCCCCCGGCCCGGGAGGTGCGACCCAGACCTTGCAACCTCTGCTACACCGGCTCTTCTTCCGAAAATCGAGACTGCGAGAGTGGCTCCGGGGACGTTCGTTCTCCGCAACAATGGAACATTAATTTTACTTTCACGCCCCCTGTCTTTCCCTCCGCCTGCATCCCTTCCTGGTGCCCAGTACTCCCCTCTTGGCGGTCTCCGAACCCCGCCCTGGTACCCGGCGACTCCTCGACGGTATCCTCGTTCCCGCTTGGCCCCGCCTGGGGTTTGCACCGGCGAAGCAGGAAATGCGCTGTTCCCGGTCCACTTTCCTGCTCAGAAACTGGTCCGCGGGGGTGTTTCTTAAGATCCCCCACCCCCAACTGTAGTCTCCCGGTTGATGGGTGGGCTCCTTCCCGTTATGGCTTGGCGTTTGGAACCTCGGGTTACCGTGGCGGAAGTGGCATTGGGGTGAAGGAGAGAGCTCGTCTGTGAACGCGGGACAAGTTACACACACACAGCCTTGCTGTCCTGTCCCTTTCCTGTCTGCCTCCTACTTTAAAGGGAATTTCAAATACAACTTGGCTGAGGCTACTGCTGCTGATCTACTAGCCCTCTGTATCAACCCACACCCTGGAGAGGCCAGGGATTCCACGGAGGGTTGTATCTTGGAACTGACCAGTCTTATCAGTAGCAGGTTCCCTGCTAGCAGAACACTTCCACTCCTACCTAAAGGAGAATCAACGCGGCCCCTGCCTCGAAGGAATGTACAATACAGTGTCCTTAGGCTTCTTCCCTGATTTATTAACGTCCATCTGGGTGTTCTGGGTCTATACCCTGTAATGATTTGTTCCTGGCCTGTGAAGGTGATGCTGATATCAATACGACAAGTGCTTTGAGGTTTTTGTTTGTTTGTTTGCTTTCTTTTCTTTTTTTCCCCTAGTGGAGGTAATAGGTTGCCTTTCCACCCTGAAAACTCTGCCAAGTTTCCCTAGGAAACAGAGCTGGCCTGTGCCAGATGGTTGGTTAGGGCAAGGTGAGCATTCTGTGATCATGGAAGTGATCAAAGTTAAACAGGTCATAAGACAGGCCACTCCTGACAGCACTCATTACCTGCTCGTCTGTGCATTTTAGCCACAGCATATCAGATTTTAAAACAGTACCAGGGTAGCTGAGTTGACTTCCAAAGTTTATAAACAGGAGGGAAAAATACTAGGGATCCTTGCTGGATTCCATTGCTGTTAAGTTTCAGTTGATGTTTGTTATCAAAATTTTATTTTCTGTCCATTTGCTGGACCTAGCTAACAACTTTGACTTTGTTTCATTTAACAGTATAACACAGGGCCTTTGGATCATTTCATTTTTATGTTCCCAGAGCACATACAATTTATAGTCTCTAACAAATGCTTGTGGATAGATAGTATAATGGCTTTCCTTCCAGATTGAGTCATTGGGTGCCCTCCCTTCTAGACAAGGCACGGAGAACCATCTCTGTAGACCTCAGCAAAGATTCTGTTCTTATTGCAAGCATATCTATGTAGACCTATGGTCAGATGCCCTCAAGCCAATAATATTATCTCTCATCCTTTCCTTCGCCAGGAGTTCAGTATTTCAGCATCTGAAATCCCACCCCTCCCAAGGATTAACTCAAAGTCTGTTGCTTTTTAGAACTAATTTGACTTGGAAATATAGCCAAGAATGTACATGGACAATTTTACCTATGGATATAATGCAAAAGCAACTGTGTATCTTCAGGAGTTTTTTCAATATTAATTTCTCCATAGTCATGAAGTACAGTTTACAAAGCAGTTTCATTTGACTCTCTGAATAGCCCTGTAGGTGAGCTGGACAGCTAGGCTCTCTCTCTCTCCTTCTTTTTCTTTTTTTGGTGGTGGTACTGACTGGAAGTTGAACCAAGGGAATTACCCCTGAGCTATACACCAAGCCCTTTTTATTATTTATTTTGAGATGGGATCTCACTAAGTTGTCTATACTGGAACTTGTCTCCCAAGTAGCTGGGAATAAAGATGTTGGCCACTTCACTGGGCTAAAGCCTCATATTTTTGAGGAGCCTGAGACTAAGAGGATCAATGACTCAAGGTCACATGACAAGGTTCTTGGACCTTTTATCAGCCCTTGCTGTTAACAAGAGTTGATCTTGTTTTGAATTTCTTCCCTTACCATGTTTCTAGCTAATGGGGCGGCCCATGGAATTTGTGGGAACTAAATAAAGACAGCAGATAGGTAAAGACTGATCAAGGATCCTTGGCACAGAAACTTCTAATGTTTTCCCTAACTGGGTCATGATAAATTTTTAAGCCAGAGTACTATAAGGAAAAAAAAAGTCATTTTCATTTATAGTATTTATAATTAGATTATTTTAATGGTACTAGGGATTGAACCCAGGAGCACCTTCCTACTGAGTTACATCCCTAGCTCTTTTTATTTTTGTTTTCTAAATTTTGAGACAGTGTCTTGATGAGTTGCTTAGGGCCTTGAGTTTGAGATCCTCCTGCCTCAGCCTCTGGGATTACAGGAGTGAGCCACCATGCTGAGCTATAAATAGATCTTTTAAGATCACATAATCTAAGCCTTGGATGACATCTCATTTATTCTATTTCATAAAAATCTTCTAATTTAGTGTTTTTTTTTTTAAAAAAAAAAAAGGAAAATAATTCAAAGTTAAATGGAGATAAAGGTCTAATTTAAGGAAATTAAAGTCTTCAAAGATTTGTCCTTGCACATCATACTCTTTCAAACTGTAAAAAACTTAATTATCCTAAGTTGTTGAGCTCTCTTTCATCATCGGCTTATACTGTTGGCTGCCTTGATACCCATTATGGACCCAGTCTTGAAAACATAAAATAGCCGGCAGGATGACACATACCTGTAATCCCAGTGACTCTGGAGGCTGAGGCTGGAGGATCACATGACCTTGGCAATTTACAAAACCCTGTATCAACATAAAAAAAGGATTGGAGATGGGCTGGAGTTGTGGCTCAGTGGCTTGCCTGCACAGGTGAGGTGCTGGGTTTGATCCTCAACACCACATAAAAATAAATAAACAAAATAAAGATATTGTGTTCATGTATAACTAAAAAAAATATTTTTAAAAAAGGGGGATTGGAGGTGTAACTCAGTGACAAAGCGTCCCGGGTTCAATCCCCAGTACCAAAAAATAAAAATAAAAAATAAAAACATACAGCAGCTAGATAAAGTAAATTCTATTGTTAGGAATAGAAATGAATAGCAAGTATTATCAATTCTTTTTTACAAAATGGGAAAATAAGCCACAGAGAAACTGGAAAATTTGCTTAATGCTTTCAAATCATGCTGTGACAAGAGAATAATCTATTCATTTAATCAACAAATAATTAACTGTGAGTGCAAGGCTTAGCACTGCATAGCATGTTGATAATGAGCACAAACTTCGGAGTTGGAATGGGTAAGTTTGAATTCTAGTCACAGCTTACAAGTGGTACCTTTGGACATGTGACTAAACCTCTTTATACCTCATCTGTAAATTGGAGGATAAGAATAGGAATGACCTAAGAGTTTCATGAGGATAAAATGAGTTAACTGTTCATAAACTCCTTAATATAGGGCCAGGCACATAGTTAATGCTACATAGATGTTTGATAAATAAAATAAAATTTAAGTTGATGCATGTTAGCATATGAAAACATGCTTGAAGAAGAAGTAAGGAAAAGTTACAGTAGTACTGAGGGTAAATACATTTTAACAACTAAACAAACAATTTCGTGATGGTGTTGATATCTATGCTAGTAATAATTAACATTGTTGTACTTTAATCACAGTTGTCTGTTACACTTACAAATTGTGTAGGGAGGTTTCTGTAAACTATTGGGCATTTCTGATTATATCTGAATGTGACCACTTTTACTCTGATAGTTTTAAAATTTTTATTTAGTGCATGTTAACCTGAAGTCTTAAGACTGGTAGGGACAAAAATACATGGAATTGTAAAACATTTGGCATTCTTAGAAAATTTTGGGAATACAAAGACACGACTTCCAAGTTAATTTTTACTTGGGTAGGATAAATTATTTTCCTAAAGATATATAAGCAAAATTTAACTTCAATAACTGCTTAGTACATTCATATTTCAAAGGAAGAAATACACACACACATACACACACACATATACACACATACACACACATACACACACACACACACACACCCTCAACTCTAACCATACTTTTCTGTGTAGAATAGTAGAAAGTTCCTAAACTCTAGTCTTGAGTTCTCAGTAACTTGTTATCAAGAAAACAGCAAGTCACTTAAACTGCCTAATATTTAATTTTTTCAAAAAAAGTGGGAGGCAGGTGTCTGATCTCTT